GACCCTCCCCATCTTGGCTCCAGGAAGCTACCATCCCTTCTTCGGACTTCCCATCCTCCCCCCAAACAGCTGGGCCCTGCTGTGGAGGGGTCAGGGTTATGTGCAGTGCGTCTTAGGCTTGGATGATGATTTGAGACCTCGGGTTCCATCACTGAGTTAGCTCAGATAACCCACTCCCTCACTCAGGCCTCCGTTTACACATCTGTAAAATAGACATAAGGGCCCCTGCACAGAGGGGTGCCACTGTGGAGGTGCCAAGGACAACGTACTGTGAAAATTCTCTGCTGTGCACACGGGAGGGGAGAGCCCCGCTTACACTGCAGCCTGCCTCTGAGTCGCCAGAAGTCGCCAGCAATACTGAACGAAAGGAGTGGTGACAGAGTGCCTGGTGGGTGCTCAGGGAAGCCCGGAGCTTCACCCTTCCCCTGCAAATATGTTCCAGAGAAGCAACAGCCACAAGGTCCACAAGACCCAGGCGGTGGCCTGACACAGCAGAGGGTGAGGCACCACCCAAAGTCCTCCACTGGGCCCGCTGGGCCTTTTGTCTGGGAGATGCTTAAAGAGCAAATGAGCTGGTACTTCAGCGTGAATGCTTGGCTCTGGAGGATTCCCAGGGCTCAGCACAGGAGCAAGCTCTGGGAAGACACGTCCCAGGAACTCTAGTAAGCATACTTAGCTATGATAGCCCCCACCTCTCACTGTAGTCTAAGCTGGTCTGAAACTCACCACATAGCCCTGACTGATCTGGAACTTACGGCAATCCTCCCGTCTCAGCTTTCCAAGTGCTAGAAGTGGTAAGTCATCTCACCTGGGCTCTCTTCTCCTTTCTGTTGGAGGAATATCCATCATATTTGTTAGCTTTTGTGACTAGAACTTATGAAGAAAAGAGGTTAATCTTGGCTTGCAGTTTTGGAGGTTCTAGTCCAGGATCAGTTGAGCCCAATGCTTTGGGGCTGTGTGGCAAGGCATCATGATGGAACTAAAAAAAAAAAAAAACAAAAAAAAAAAAAAAACAAAAACTCAGTTCATGGCAGGAAGAAAGGAGAAATGAAGATGCCAGGCATGATGGCACACCTGTAGCCCTAGCTCTTAAGCAGGAGGATGGAGAGTTCAAAGCCAGTCTGGGCTACAGAGTGATACCCCGCCTCAGTGAACCAATAAAATTACCTGCAATACCAACACTCAGGAGCCTGAGACAGGAGGAAAGAATGTAAATCTAGTCTACGCTATACAGCAAGACCCTGTCTAAAAAGAAAAAGAGCGTCCTGGATAGTGGATAGTTTTGGAGGTTTTGTTTTGTTTGTTGTTTTGTAACAGGGTTACTCTGTTTAACTGCTGCAGTTGTCCTGGAGCTCACTTTGAAGACCAGGCTGGCCTCAAACTCACAGAGGTCCACCTGCCTCTGCCTCCTGAGTGCTGAGACTAAAGAGGTGTGCCCCCACGCCTGGATGATAGTGGATAGTTTTATGTCAACTTGACACAGGTTAGAGTTAATTGAAAGGTGGGAATTTCAATTGAGAAAATTCCTCCATAGGGTCCAGCTGTAAGGCACTTTCTTAATTATTGATTGATGAGAGAGGGCCCAGCCCACTGTGGGTGGTGCCATCCCTGGGCTGGTGGTCCTAGATTCTACAAGACAGCAGGCTGAGCCAGCCATGAGGAGCAAGCCAGGAAGCAGCACCCCTCCGTGACCTGTGCTTCAGCTCCTGCCTCCAGGTTCCTGTCCTGACTGTCTTTAATGATAGACTATGATGTGGAACTCTAAGCCAAATAAACCCTTTCCTCCCCAACTTGCTTTTTGGTCATGGTGTTTCATCACCCTAAGACAGAGAACAACAGCTAGAGCTAGAGAGCAAGAGAGAGCAGGAGAGAGAGAGACAGAGAGAGAGAGGAAGAAAAGGAGAGGAACTGATGGGGAAGGAAAAAGGAGAAAAGGAAGAAGAAGGGGAAGAGGATAAGGAAAATAAGAGGGAGGGGGAAGAGGAGATGCAGTGATGGGGAAGAAAGGAGGGGGAAGGAGGAAGGAGAGGGAGATGGAACAGAGGACGTGGAAATCACAGCCTCCTTTAGTATGCCCATAGTTTCTGGATACTTCTAAGCAGAACTTGATTACTTAAAATTTTCACCATCTTTCAATGACAAATCTCTGGGAATTAAACCTCTAACATGAAATATTCAGGATCTAAATCATAGCATGAAACATCTTAAAGCTACCATGGGACATTCCAGGCTGAGATCTGGGAAGGACTGAAAACTGTTCCAAGGATTCATCTAGAAAGGCGGGCTCACAGGTTTCAGTAGCATCATTGTCATCTAAAGTGTGTCTATCACACACAACAGAAGCTTAATAAGCAAATGATGGGCGGATGCATATGTTGTCTTATTGGCCGAAAAATGTTAAGGATGCAGGAAGGAAGGCAAAACTAATGTGGACCACAGGTCTTAGAAAAGAATCATGTGTAGACCTGGCTGGCCTGAAACTCCCAGAGATCTGCCTGCCTCTGCCTCCACTGGGATTAAAGGCGAGTGCCACCACTGCCCATAGAAAAGAATTATTCTTAGTTATCTATGAGTCACATGTTTTGTGACAGACTGGGAAGTGCAGTGCAGGGCTTAGCATGGGGACCCCAGCCCCCAGGACACAAGACAAAGTGCACTGCAGGAATTAGGGCTGGAGCCAAGGAACTCCAGGAGGGGACAATGACTCTAAGACTCTTGAAGGAGGCCGCAGACCGCCTTCTGAAGGTGAGTCTGAAGGACTGACCAGGCTTCCAGCATTCATGCCCATTTCAAAGGCACAAAAGTCACACCTGGTCCCTCCTAGAACCCACATTACCTGCAGGCTGATGGTCACCACCGTCACCCTCCCCCATTCCTAGCAGTTCATTTCTGCCGTTAACTGCTAACATGCTTTTCTCACACCCAAGAAAAGCATGCGCATTCTGCAGAGAGCTGAAGAGTCTCAAAGGAACAAGAATCTAATGGCAAAGTTCCAAGCAGAATAGAAAATAAATGGGGAGCCATCTGGGTGCAGGGGGGTGTCTGTACCCAAGACCCCTCCCACAGACATTCTGCAGTGCCTCAGAAAATCTACTCACCTCACCCTTGCAACACTTACCAACTAGCCTTTCTGCCCCTGCCAACAGCAGTGTGACTAGACCTTTAAATTGGGAAAATGCTTCATCATGTTCTGCTTCGCCATGAAAAACTAGAAACTCCCTCCCCCTCCTCCCTAGTGCACTCTCCTTCCAGTAAAACGTGGTTAAAGGGACAGTGCCATCATTTCCCTAGCTGTGAGGGTCAGCCTGCAGCCAGGGGCTAGGAATGAGATAGAGGGCAAGGAAAGAGGGAATCTGTCAGTTCCTGTCCTGGGGATCCCTCCCAAGAGAAAACCATACTAAACTGGGGTTCGGTGTGATAACTGCCTGGGAGAGGCTCTGATCTGAAGAAGTTTACAATAGTTTCCAGAGCTTGTCAGTGGACTTTGGAGTGGTGTTCTCTGCTCTAGGCAGAGGGGGTTTACAGTGAGGGCTTCACGGAGAGCCAGGTACTGAACAGGGCCTGAAGGGTGGGTCACTTCGAGACCTTGCCTTATGACTCATCCAGCCCTCGCCGGTACCGGTACCGCAGAGGGGTTGGAAAACCTACTGAGCCTCCCCTACTCTGTAGGGCCTAGATTAACCCTTCCCATCCGAGGAGTAGACTCTGTCCCTGGTGCTGAAACGGTAGCGCCACGGAGCGTCCACTAACAAGGCATTTGACAGGAAAACCAAACCAAGAACCAGCCATAAAACAAAGCAAGGCCCCAAGTCCGAGCCCCGCCGCCGCCGCCCTTTCACCTGAATCCTCGGCAGGCTCAGGAGCTGTGGACCTTGGGACTGAGAGCCCACCCCAGCACTTCCGTGGGAGCATGAAGGGATGCTTATGGCAGTATGGGCTTATCTACTGTGGGAGCAGGAGCGCGATGACGCAGCGGAGAGGAGAGAAATCGGGCAAGGAAGGGAGAAAGAGAAACTTCTCAAGTGAGAAGTGGGCGCCATAAACACTGGCAATATGTGGGTTTCCTTCCCCGAACTGAGCCAGAGATTGCCCAAGCTGGAAGCTCCTAACAGTACCTGGGGGTTTGGGGCTGCGTCTTGTCTCTGCTGTACACAAGGGTGACCACAATTTGGACAAGGTCATTCAGCTGACAAAGCATAGGCTGACCCCACCCTCCGCCCCGTTGGCGGAACGGGTCTAGGAGTCAAGGATCTTGCAGCCTGCTCGGGGGCCCTCTGCTTCCTGGCTGCCTACAGTTGTCCTTGCCGGGCAAGGCGCAGCCTCCACTTGCAGTGTTGGCCACTGGACTTGTCAGGGAACGCCAAGTTCCCCCTCTCAGCGCTCCCTTTCTCCTTCTGCAGTGTCCCCCAGGGAACTCCGCAGTCCTCTCAAACTCCACGTCCCCTTCCCCTACCACGGAGACAGCAGCCAGCCGCAGCGTTCCTTAAGCCCCTCCGGGTGGCCGGCGACTACTCTAGGGTCGGGAACCCTGCCCCTCCGGCCAGGAGGTCCCCCCAGTTATCCCCAGTAGCGTCCATTGTGCGACCCTCCAGAACCCCTTCCTGGATGGCCGCAGGTCTCTGCACTCCTCATCTCAAGGCCCTCTCGGTTAGGGAACCCTGTGTGGCCTCTCCTGGGGGCGGGGGCGGGGGGAGCATCCGCTCATAGCCATCACTGCGAGTCCCCCTTGCTTCTCCCCGCAGGCCCCCTGCCCCGTCGGTCCCGCAGTCCTCTCCCTAGCTCAGGGGCCCTCTCCTATTCCGAGGGTCTCATTCTGACCAATAGGGTCTTCCGACGTGCACCTGGAGGTCTGCACCGCCCCGCTCCGGAAGTCCTTGACTCCTTGGTCTGACCTCGGGAGGTTCCACTGACGCAGCGACGATTCCCCTCCACTCCTGGGTGGCCCCCCCGCCCCGCCCCGCCCCGCCCCTCTCACTGCGGCGGAGCCGGTCGGCCCCGGGGCCGCAGGGGAGGAGATGGGGAGGGCGGGGCCCTCCTCCCCAGCCCCCCACGGCCGAGGGGGCCGGCCCCGGCCACCGCGGATATAAAAGAGCCCGGAGGCCGGGAGCTGCCGCAGTGCCGCCCGCCCCGTCCCGGCCCCGCACTCCCGCTCCGCCGCCGCCGGCGGCCGCACCTGCTCCGGCCATGATGAGCTTCGGCGGCGCCGACGCGCTGCTGGGCGCCCCGTTCGCGCCGCTGCACGGAGGAGGCAGCCTGCACTACGCGCTGGGCCGCAAGGCCGGCGCGGGCGGCCCGCGCTCCGCCGCCGGCTCCTCCAGCGGCTTCCACTCGTGGGCGCGGACTTCCGTGAGCTCCGTGTCCGCCTCGCCCAGCCGCTTCCGCGGCGCCGGGGCCGCCTCCAGCACCGACTCCCTCGACACGCTGAGCAACGGCCCGGAGGGCTGCGTGGTGGCGGCGGCGGCGGCGCGCAGCGAGAAGGAGCAGCTGCAGGCCCTGAACGACCGCTTCGCGGGCTACATCGACAAGGTGAGGCAGCTCGAGGCGCACAACCGCAGCCTGGAGGGCGAGGCGGCGGCGCTGCGGCAGCAGCAGGCCGGCCGCGCCGCCATGGGCGAGCTGTACGAGCGCGAGGTGCGCGAGATGCGCGGCGCCGTGCTGCGCCTCGGGGCGGCGCGCGGCCAGCTGCGCCTGGAGCAGGAGCACCTGCTGGAGGACATCGCACACGTGCGCCAGCGGCTGGACGAGGAGGCCCGGCAGCGCGAGGAGGCCGAGGCGGCGGCGCGCGCCCTGGCCCGCTTCGCGCAGGAGGCGGAGGCGGCGCGCGCCGAGCTGCAGAAGAAGGCGCAGGCGCTGCAGGAGGAGTGCGGTTACCTGCGGCGCCACCACCAGGAGGAGGTGGGCGAGCTGCTCGGCCAGATCCAGGGCTGCGGGGCCGCTCAGGCGCAGGCGCAGGCCGAGGCGCGGGACGCCCTCAAGTGCGACGTGACGTCGGCGCTGCGGGAGATCCGCTCGCAGCTCGAAGGCCACGCGGTGCAGAGCACGCTGCAGTCCGAGGAGTGGTTCCGAGGTGCGCGCGGGGTGGGAAGGGGGCGCCCCCTCCCGGCGGGGCGGTGAGCCGCCTGTGGGTTCACCAGTGAGGATAGGGGACCCCCCGGAAGTAACTGGACCCTCTGCAAGTGAACCTCATAAAGTAGCGGTTTGACTCTGGCTTCCTCCCGGGGTGCCCCAACCCTGGATTGTCCCTCAGATGCAGCCCTCCACCTCTACTCCACACGATTAGGCGGACCCCAGTTTCAGACCTGTCTCCCTTCTGAAACAGAACAAGCCCTTTACAGACCCAGGGTATCACAGCAGCACCCGCTTGCCCTTCCCTTCCCTGGGTGAAGCAGGAGTACTCTGCTGACACCCACCAGGCTTCTCAGAGCACACAGTGTGCCCCCCCCCGCCCCCACATTAGTGATCTGCAGTGTGCGATGAAAGGAGCCGCTCGCTTTCATGCCCTTTCTAGCCAGGATGGAACCAGCTTGTAGCTGAAGCAGCCCCTCCTACTCTCAAATGCTAGGACCTCCCATCTCCCTTTCTCCCAAAACGTACAGGGGTTCTGAGTCCGGCCAGACTGCAGTTGCCCTGAAGCCGCGCCCAATAGCTGCAGGGTGACCTTGATCCACACTGGCCTTCTGGTTTCCTTTAGGACGGGGGTATAAAGTAACTGCCCTTCTCAGTCTTCCTGAAGTTGTCTATAGACCCTTGCTTTGTGTGGAGGCCAGTGAGGGCCAAGCTTGGTGCCTTCCGAAGGTGCCCGTGAAGCATGGTAGCTGAGAATTGTCACAACGCTTTTTAAGTCTTCGCTAAGAGCAGGGAAAGCCGGGCACACCGGGGTTGGGCCCTTGGAATGGGCTGCTTTCATGCTGCACGCCTTGGCAGTAGCCGTGAGCCATCCCTTCCCCCATCTCTGCGGCAGGGCTCCTCCCAGAGGGGACCTCTTCCCTTTTAGGTTTGCCCTTCACCCAAGCAGGGCAGCTCAGGATGTCCCCACCAGCTGGCCTCTTTCTTTCAACCAGGACTCAGCTCTTTTAGGATGTTTACTCGTAGGAGCTTAGGACCGATTTCTGACTTCCACTGGCCCCCCTACAAGATCCGAGAACCAAGAGCCGGTTGGTGGCGGAGGCTCCATTGGCTCAGGCGCAGTGCTGTAGAATCAAGTCAGTAGAGGAAGGGACAGAAGGTTGGTACACAGGCCTTGTGCTCTCCGGTGACCTTGGACTCCGCAGAAATCTGCAATGAAGTTACCATGGCTGTATTGTAACTGATGACTCCCACAGCTTTCATGTGGAGAGGTCACAGGAATAGTAACTTCTTCCCAGAGCCTGGAGACCCCATCTCAGCCTTAGGCCTCATGCTAGATTGCCCATTCAGTCCCTCACTGTGCCAGCCCTCTGCTAGGCACTGGAACCAGGAACGGAGGATGAGGGGAAGCTTCCCTTCTTCTGAGTGCTTTAGGGATCAAGTTGAGGTGGACACAGTCTGCCTTTCAAAGCCAGATAGACTACCTTTGAATCCTGCCCCTCATTAGCTGGGTGGCTTTGGGCAACAGCTACTTGACTGGCATATGCCAGGGTGGATTAAACATCCTGGTACCCAGTAGGTCTTCAACCCATGTGTGCCAACCTTCAGATCTAAGCCTTGAGACCCAAGTTTAGATGTGCCTAACCCTGTGCCCGATTGCTTCCCTGCTTAGTGAGGTTGGACCGACTCTCAGAGGCAGCCAAGGTGAACACAGACGCCATGCGGTCCGCGCAGGAGGAGATAACTGAGTACCGGCGACAGCTGCAGGCCAGGACTACAGAGTTGGAGGCACTGAAAAGCACCAAGGATTCCCTGGAGAGGCAGCGCTCCGAGCTGGAGGACCGCCACCAGGCAGACATCGCGTCCTACCAGGTGCTCTGGGGAAGGGGGGTCACTTCCTTCCTTAGAGCAGGGCTCTGGTCTCTGAGTCAGACACCGCATTATGTTTGTGCTGTGTGGCCTGCAGAGTTATCTGCCTACCCGGGTTAAAATCTCTTCTCTGAAATGAGGAGGAGGAAAGCAACAAAAATCTCTGCTTTGCAGAGCAGTGGAGGTCAGAGAGATCACCAGTGTTCGGATACAGCCCAGTGGCAGAGTTCTTGCCTTCCTAGTGTGCGTGAGGTCCTGGGCCTCACCCTAGCACCTAATTAATTTACTACTTCAATATAAAGGCTTAGCATCTTCTTGGTTAGAGTAGGTCACCAGTGCCTGTGGGCATGGCCCCGGGGGCAGCTTTGGTAGATTCACTCAAAAATAGTCTTGGGGAGAAAAGGGTCACTTTCATACCTACTAATGATGCCTGCAGAGACCTTGGAAACTGGAGAAACACAAAGGAGTAGGTAAAAGGTAGCTGTAATGGTTCGCTTTAAGGCAGTGGTTCTCATCCTAATGCTTTAACACAGTTCCTCATGTTTCAGTGACACCCCTCCCCCGCAACCATATTTTTTTGTTTTTTGTTTTTCAAGACAGGGTTTCTCTCTGTAGCCTTGGGTGTCCTGGACTCAATTTGTAGACCAGGCTGGCCTCCAATTCACAGAGATAGATCCACCTGCTACTGCCTCCCTGAGTGCTGGGATCATAGGCGTGCACTACCACACCCTGCTCATAAAATTATTTTCGTTGCTACTTCATAACTTTAATTTTGCTCCTGTTGTGAATTGTAATGTACATATTTTTGGAGAAAGAGGTTTACCAAAGGGGTCTCAACCCGCAAAGCAGTAGCTCCAGCCAGAAGAAATTTCATCTGTGTTCAGGTGCTTCTGGGAAGAACAAAAAACAAAGTACCTAAGGCTGTTCTCTGCCCAGGGCCCTGTTAATATGCTATTTATGTGCCCTACCCCAGGCTACAACTCCAGCCTGTAAAGGAGCATTTTCTAAGCCGTCTATAAAAAGTCACCCATCTTTCTGACTGAGCCAGCAGCTGCTGTATTTCATCCCGGATCTTTGCTCAGGCTGAGATTTTTCCCTCACTGTCTATGAGCACCTTGAGATTTGACAGCGTAGGGCTTTGTCCCCAGCCGGGGACTTACCGGGTCTGTCATCCCCAGGATGCTATCCAGCAGCTGGACAACGAGCTGAGAAGCACCAAGTGGGAGATGGCAGCACAGCTTCGAGAGTACCAAGACCTGCTCAACGTCAAGATGGCCCTGGACATCGAGATTGCTGCTTACAGGTGAGATGGTCCAGGAGCCCCAAGGCTCCGAGGAGCACCAAGCCTTCAGCTTCCCGTCTCGGTAGCCTGCCTGCTTTTTAAAGACAAAAACAAAGTTTTTGGGGTTTTATATTTGTTTTTCTGTCTGTTTTAACATATCTATGTAGCCATCTCTGGCCTTGAACACACAATGTACACCACGCTGGTCTGTAGCTCACGGAGACCCACCTACCTCTGCCATGCTCCACCACAACCTTCCTAAAGACAAAAGTATTTCTCTTTTTATTTTTTATTAGTGTGAGCGTGGGTGTGTTCATGCTGTGGCACATGTGTGGGGGCCAGAGGATAACTTTGCAGAGTCTCTTCTCCCACCTTTACATAGGTCCTGGGGGTTTAATTCAGGCATCAGGCCTGTACAGCAAGCATCTCTACACACCAGGCCGTCCTGCCAGAGCAAGAAAGTATTTCAGTTGCGAGCCTTAGCCTTTAGCAGCGCAGCTCTCCTTCCAGTCCTGATTACAGTACAATATGTGTTAATGATGTGTGATCAGCAAGATGGTTCAGTGGGTAATGCTGTCTAAGCCTGTGGGTCTAAGTTTCGTCACCACTGTAGAAAGTTGTCCATAACCTGTCTCACCCTGTGGCACACATGCACCCACACCCAGGCACACACACAATAAAATAAAGAAAAAAAAAATTTTAAAAATCTGTATCTTGAAATCTGCCATTTAACTGTTTTAAAGGAACAGTTCAGAGGAGTCAGGTAAATTTGCATATATTTGCATATGAAGCATTCATCTCCCTCAATCTCCAGAGCTGTTTTTTCACCATCTCAAACTCAAACTGATGCCCCTTAAAGGACTCTTCATTGTCCCCCTGCCCTCAATCCCCAACAACCATTCTACTTCCCAAGAGGCAGAGATCTTGAACTTACTTTCTTTTAACTACATTTTATTTACTTGTATGTACACACCTTACGCACACATATATGCAGGTTGGTTTTCTGTTTCCACTGTGTGGGTTCTGGGAATCAAATTTACCAAGTGCTTGGGTTTTACCCACTAAGCACCTCACTGGCTCAGGAGTGCCTTGCTTTCTTTCTGACAGTGACTTATTTACCCCAAACCAATTAGTCAGAGACTTGCTTTGGAGGAAAAGAGGGGCTTAGGTAGTCAGAGACAATTTAGCCCCAACCTTTGCAATTTCTCAGCTCACTGGGAATGAAGATTCCTTGTAAAAATAAATGAAGGCAACAGAAACAGCATCCGAATCACAGATTGTTGGAAGCTCAGCCAGTCCTGTTCATAAGATAATCCAGCTGACGTAGGTTCTGCTGGACAGTCATGGTGCTCACTGAATGGTAGCCATGAGAAGACCAGTCCCCAAAGATGAGACATCCCAGCCTAGCAGGGCTGACATCACAAAGGCCTCTTCTGGTTGGTGAGCCTTGGCTGTCCACCTCCTGGCCCTGATCTAATTTTGCTACTCAGTGCAGTGTACCAGCCAGGAATCAAGAGTGATCCTAGAGTTAGGAAGATAGGCCCAGGCCCTGCCCCACGCTGCTGGAGTAAGATCTATTTAACAAGGTCAGGGTCATTTGTGAGGTGTTTAATTTGGGAACCACTGTTCTAGGGGAACCTCTACACTTCCTCTAAGCAGGCCCCTTGCCAAGCCCCTCAATATTTATTCTCACAGAAACAGCCCTCTGAGGTAAGGACTCATGGTCATCTTTTAGCCAATGAGGAAATCAAAGCCTTCAGAGTCTGGGCAGCTTGGATACGGTCACCATCTATTGAGTAGCTAAGTGAGAGGAAAAATCCCAAAGAATGTCTACAGAAGGTAACAGGGCAGCTCTAAGCGGCAACATCCTGAAACTCTCACACTACATTTATAAGCATGGGCTTACTTGTTCCCAGCAATTGTTCTGTCAGTCACTGGAGGGATTTTTTTATTGTGTGTATGTGCACAGTGTGCATGTAGAGGTTTTGCACAATTTTCAGGAGTCGTTCTCTCTCTCTCCACACACAGGACTTTGTACAGACTAGACCAGCCTTACCCCAAGACCTCCAACTTTCTCTTGAATTAGTTTTTTTGTTTGTTTGTTTATTTGTTTGGGGGGGGAGGTGGGAGTACATTCAAGACAGGGTGTCTCTGTGGAGCAGTGGCTGTCCTGAAACTTGCTTTGTAGACCAGGCTGGCCTCAAACACAGAGATCCATCTGCTTCTGCCTCCTGAGTGGTGGGATTAAAGGCGTGTGTCACCATGCCCAGCTTGAATTAGGTTTTAGTTGACAGACAATAAATGTAAGTTTTGCCATTGTAGGAGTTTTCTTTTTCTTTTTCTTTTCTTTTTTTTTTTTTTTTTTCCAGAGCTGAGGACTTGTTAGGCAAGCACTCTACCACTGAGCTAAATCCCTAACCCAGGAGTTTTCTATTGAGGACCATTCTTTAGGGAGATGTTTCCTGCTATACACAGCAGTGTAGGTGACCTCCGGAACACTTTGTCACGTAACTTTCTCCATCCTCAAAATGCTTCCTGCAGGGGCTGTGAGTCAGTGTATCAGTGTAGAGTATGTGCTAGCATAAATGCATCCCCAGTGCTAGAAAAAGTAAGTTCTAAATGTCTACTAGCAATGAAAATGAAAAACCTGAAAAGGAGAGAGTAACAGGGAAGGAAAGAAAAAAAGGAGAAAGGGAAAGAAAATGAAATTTCTGCCATTCATTCACACCCTCCGTTTACCAAACCCTGTTCCTGAATGCAGTGGGGCTCCTGGAAAACCAACTGAGATTCCAAAGTCAGTGAGTTAATGGTGTGTCTCATTATTCATTCTGCAGAAAGCTCCTGGAAGGTGAAGAGTGTCGGATTGGCTTTGGTCCGAGTCCCTTCTCACTTACTGAGGGACTCCCAAAAATTCCCTCCACATCCACTCACATAAAAGTCAAAAGTGAAGAGAAGATAAAAGTGGTAGAAAAATCAGAGAAGGAAACTGTGATTGTAGAGGAACAGACAGAAGAGATCCAGGTGACTGAAGAAGTAACAGAAGAGGAAGAAAAAGAGGCTAAAGAAGAGGAAGGAGAAGAGACAGAAGAGGGAGGAGAAGAAGAAGCTACATCTCCCCCTGCAGAAGAGGTCCCATCTCCAGAAAAAGAAACCAAGTCTCCTGTGAAGGAAGAAGCCAAGTCCCCAGCTGAGGCAAAGTCACCAGCTGAGGCCAAATCACCAGGTGAAGTTAAGTCACCAGCTGAGGCCAAGTCCCCAGCTGAGGCCAAGTCCCCAGCTGAGGCCAAGTCACCAGCTGAGGCCAAGTCCCCAGGTGAGGCCAAGTCACCAGCTGAGGCCAAGTCCCCAGCTGAGGCCAAGTCACCAGCTGAGGCCAAGTCCCCAGCTGAGGCCAAGTCACCAGGTGAGGCCAAGTCACCAGCTGAGGCCAAGTCACCTGCTGAGGCCAAGTCACCAGTTGAGGCCAAGTCCCCAGCTGAGGCCAAGTCCCCAGGTGAGGCCAAGTCCCCAGGTGAGGTCAAGTCCCCAGGTGAGGTCAAGTCCCCAGCTGAGGTCAAGTCCCCAGGTGAGGCCAAGTCCCCAGCTGAGGCCAAGTCACCAGCTGAGGCCAAGTCCCCAACTGAGGTGAAATCTCCAGAGAAAGTGAAGACCCCTGTGAAGGAAGAAGCAAAATCCCCAACTGAGGCCAAGTCTCCTGAGAAAGCCAAGTCCCCTGTGAAGGAAGAGGTCAAGGCTCCAACTGAGGTAAAATCCCCTGAGAAGGCTAAGAGCCCCGTGAAGGAGGAAGCAAAATCTCCTGAGAAGGGCAAGACTCTAGACGTGAAGTCTCCAGAAGCCAAGACTCCACTGAAGGAGGACATCAAATCTCCGGGACAGGCCAAAAGTCCTGCCAAAGAAGAGGTCAAGTCCCCTGAGAAGGTCAAGTCCCCCGAGAAGGTCAAGTCCCCTGAGAAGGAAGAAGCCAAGGCCTCTGAAAAGGAGCTTCCCAAGAAGGAAGAGGTAAAGTCCCCTGTAAAGGAAGAGGTGAAAGCCAAAGAACCCCCAAAGAAGGCAGAGGAAAAGAAGACCCCAGCTACACCAAAAACAGAAGAGAAGGAGAGCAAGAAAGATGAAGCCCCCAAGGAAGCCCCAAAGCCCAAAGTGGAGGAGAAGAAGGAAACACCTGCAGAAAAGCCCAAGGACTCTACGGCAGAGGCCAAGAAAGAAGAGTCTGGAGATAAGAAGAAAGCAGCGACTCCAGAAAAGGAGACTCCTGCTAAGGCAGAAGTAAAGGAAGAAGCTAAACCCAAAGAGAAGACAGAGACGACCAAGACGGAAGCAGAAGATGCCAAGGCCAAAGAACCTAGCAAACTCGCAGAGAAGGAAAAGCCAAAGAAAGAGGAGGCACCGGCAGCACCAGAGAAGAAAGACACCAAGGAAAAGGTCACAGAGTCCACGAAGCCTGAGGAGAAACCCAAAACAGACACCAAGGCCAAAGAAGATGACAAGGGCCTTTCTAAAGAGCCCAGCAAACCCAAGACAGAAAAGGCTGAAAAATCCTCTAGCACAGACCAAAAAGATAGCCAGCCCCCAGAGAAGGCCTCAGAGGACAAAGCGACCAAGGGGGAGAAGTAAGGCAGAGAGAAAGGAATGTCCAGAAGAGCCAAAGAAACTCAGGGGGGGTCCCAGTACTCAAGGGTTGGTGTAATAAGTTTTATCTCTTCCTTTCCTTTCTGTAAGAAGAAATACCGCTTAGATGACGGGTCTGCCCTCACCAAACAGGAATGTCCATTAGGATTAAGTTAGCAAGAGAAGATACCCTGAGCCCTGCCCCCCATACCCCATGGCCTCCGCAGGTGATGGACAACTATGATAGCTTATTGTAGCCAAGCGTGATGTATGCTGAATGCTACATGAGAAACACTTGATAAAAACTGCCCCCTCCTTTCCAAGTAAGTGCATTTATTTCCTGTATGTACGACAGACGACCGCAATAATGAATGAGCACTTAGAAATGCATTATGCTTGAAATGTCGTAACCTATTCCTGAATGCCTTCTCGTTTTCCAAAGGAGTGGTCAGGCCCCTGCCCGGTACGCTCTCCTGGAAGAGCTGCAGCAGGTGAGGCAAGGCAATGGCCACCGGACCAGACCAGGGCGCACTTTCCACTGGAGTCCACTTTCAATTGCTCCCATGCAATAAAACCAAGTGCTTCTAAAATAAAACTGGCTGTTTTCACTCGTTCTCTTCCCCTGGGAAGGAGGCCTACATGTGAGATCTGTGCTGGCGACCTAGGGCATCATTCCTTAGTATGGTCATGGATCACCTGGGAGCCTTAGAAACCCAGACTCCTGACTCCACACTGTTGACATCACAGTCTGAGAGGGAGACTCAGAGAAAGTGCACACTGTGCCAAATCCCAGTTTACCCTAATGAACACTGATGCCAGGATGCCTAGGAATGCTGAGTCCCAGGAGGATGTCAAATGGTCCATGGAGTCTGCTTGTTAGATGAGAGGAACCTATGAATAATGGGGCATACACGGCTAATTCATCTGTTGAGAAGACTACAGCGACAACCTTTCAGCAATCACTCAATTTCCACTCGGTGTGCTTCTCTGGGCATGGATTTTTGTTTTTCGGTACTTACCCCACTCCCACCCCTTTTGTGTTCTTATTTGCTTACATGCACAGGGTGGCTTTGAACTTGTATTCCTGTCCCTCCTACCCAAGTATCTGGGGTTTTGTGCACGCACCATGATGCCTGGCTCTGGAAGTCCTTTTGAAAGCTTTACGATCCTCATACAGGTTTCCATGGCGTCCTCCCTATTAAGTCCTTGTGTGGTGGGACTGGCATGGCCCCTTATTTTGTGTGTCCAACACATCTCCCAGGAATTGCTTCTCTGCTCCCCACAGCCAGATGGCTCTCAGCTATCATGTCTGTAATTTTCCTTCCTCTGGACACTGACAATTGGTCCGGAATGGCCAGTTGAGCCAATGAAGCTCTTTTCTTGGGACCAGAGTAGCTGGTAGGGAGATGTGAGTCAGGAGCTGTGGGCAGCCATGTTTCTAGACCTATGGTAAGATAGTCCAAGAGAGCATGAGATGGTCAGGGACAAGGTACCTAGAGAGCCATGGTGGACTTCCACATGATCCGTCCACAGCTTTTGGCCATTCTTTGAAGTGATAAATCTTTTCCTTTACCAAACACTTTGGGTTATAACAGTGCTTTGCAACCAGAGGGCTCTGAATAATACTGTGACTAAAAGGGAAGTTTCTAAGCTAGCAACAGAATAGTGAGACCTCAGGGAATGAGCAAGTGCCCCCATCACTATATCCTAAAGTTCTGTTATTGGTCAACACTTGAGGCTAGAATCCATATACCATCTCTGGCACCCATCTCCATCTGCCACAAAGACCGAGTTATTAAAAGAATGGCAAGAAAGTTGAGGTTGGTAATCTTTAAAGGTTTTTGTTTGTTTGACACAATCTCATGCATCCCAGGGTTACTTCTAATATGGTATGTTCCTAGATGACTTTGAACTCCTGCTCTTCCTGCTTCCTCCTCCTGAGGGCTAGGAGTGTAGGCATGCACAGTGCATATAATAATCTGGCAAATAATCTCTTAAATTATCAATATGGCCAAGGACTCTGAAGACCTGAGCATTAATTTTCTGAGCTGCCTACCTTGAGGAAATCAGATATCTATATGCCCTAGCACATAGCCATATCTGGACACAAAGGGGATCTGGAAGGCAAGGAAAAAAAATCAGTACTTATAGTCCACCAGTCTCAGACTTGCCTCAGACTTCTGAGTGCCATTATTACAGGCATGTATCACCATACCTGGCTCTCCCCATCTGGTTTGCCTAAAAATGTTAGTCATCCAAATACTCCAAACTTACTTACTTCCTTTCCTTCCTTTCCTTTCCTTTCCTTTCCTTTCCTTTCCTTTCCTTTCCTTT